ACTATTACTAATAGTCCTCTAGTAGCGTAGCCAATCAAAATGCATGATTTGCATTAGTCCACAAGTTGGGTGATACTAAGATCTAATATCACTTTGTTAAGGTAACGTACGGGTCGCTGAGACTGCTGGGATAGGATCGACTGAACTGGAAGAGCTGGAACGCGAGCTGGAAAGCCTCGCTATTGGAGACAAAGGTAACAACAGACCCGTATTTTCAAGCAAAATGCAAACTGCCTCGTTACTTAACCCAATCCCTTTCTGTAGTTTCTTTTCGCTCGATATTAAAATCCTTCGTTATATAAATCAGTCCCGGGTTGTTCGAAAGGTTGATAACGCTTTCCACCGGCAGGATAAATCACTATCCAGTGGATAGCGTGGTTTGTTTTGTTAACACATATCCACTGGATAGCGTTGTCCAACTTTCGAACAACTGGGGCCAGTTATTTCATATTTGACCGTGACTCCTTACTGCGGTCTGGACACTACAGAAAGCATAAAGCTTTCAAATAATAAATAACTGATTTATTTATAAAACCGATAATATCTATGGTCAATATTTTGCTCTTTACACTGGCTTCAATTCACTTATACTAAACGATCAATCGCTATCCAACATCACTGATGAACAAAAAAAAAACGTTTCATCGTTTAGTAGGAGGCTGTTGGGATAAAGAGATCGTTTATATCCAATATGGAAAGCCCACTCTTAGGAGTCGGCGAGAAGCCCCAGCCAAGCAACAGAACTAAATTGGAAAAATTGAAGAACGTTTGGCAAACACTTTAGCCGCAATTCATAAAAGCAAACCAGAAAAACAAGAAGCTATGGCCAGTTTCTTTCCGCAATCTATTCTGGGAAAAAAATAAAAAATAAGGGAAGTTCTGTTTAAACGTTTGTGGCAATAAACCTTGGAGAGTCTGCATGGACCAATACCAGCCTTGCTGACATCTTACATTAACATTTCTCTGCTGTATTTAGAAGAACGCCATCTCTCTCCTACCTCTCACGCCCGAGCAACTATTTGTCAGTGTTTGTTTTGCTATTTTTTGTTATTTTTCCAGAGACAGCCCCTGCGATATTACCTGGAACAAACGTGCAGCAAATAACCGGCGGCTTACCACCGCTGGTTGATCACCAGTCCCGCTCTCCCTTGTCGAGGCCCGCCCTGAGGCCTGAGGCGAGCGTGAACAGCACTCATAATCAGTGGGTGGATAGAGAACCTGTACATTTACCAGAGGTTCCTTCACACAGTCTGATTAAAACTGGAACCTCCGCACCAAGAGAGAAACCTAGACCATTGGTATCCAGCTAAGTACAATGTCGAAGGTAGTAGGGTGGTGTGTAAACTGTACTTGAACGAGTAAATATAGGCAAAAATATGACACCACAAGTTTATTTGAAATTTTCCAACTGTTGTAGCGAATAGGAGAGACACAGTAAATTCTGGTGTTAGGGTTTGACGAACAACATCAATGCGCATATGACGGTAACTACAGAGGTACTAACACTTATGTAGGTCCTTCTCTTGTGGACAATTGAACTACTATAACGAGGAAGGATGGTTATAAGCAAATCTTTTGCATTTCTTAATGGGAGGTCGTCATTTTCTGTACAAATATTTAGTCACAGCCACGTTAGGAATTTTTATTTTACCTGTAGAATCAAATGAATTCAATTGTAAATTAACATATAGTTTGTGTCTCTCTCTCATGTTGTATATATGCAGACCAATTAAATGATGTTGATTTTATGTGGTTTGAATATTTCATTGATAGCTTAGCCACATGCATACGTGTAGTTAGGTTGTTCACAATGCAAGACATCAAGCCTTTGTATGACCGCAGACCGTTACTAGACCGTTTTTCAAAGAAACTGAGAGATACAATGTACTGTAGGTCATTTTCAATATTCAAAATTAAAATGTCTTCGTGGTACTTGTTTTCCTGATCAATCGAGTATCAATTTCATTATTTGACAGTGACTAGTTAGTTTCCAGAAGTTGTTATAGCTTGACCGTTTATAAATGGTACATTAGCGGCGTAGTGATGCGAACAAGTTGAAATTGATTGACTAATTGTTTGTGAGATATCATTCTCACTAATTTCTTTCGATTCATTCCCACTGTCTTGGTAAAAGTTAAGTACTGGTCAGCGACCTCCATGTTTAATTTGCGTTTGTTACGTCAGAATTTATGACGTTATGGACTTTACAGTGATGTGAAGTACGTTTAATATTGATAATAAACACTCGCTTTCCATTATGAAAAAAATGCATTTCAAGATCAGCAACGAAACGAGGTAATCAACTTTGAGGTAAGAAAATTGTAGCTTCTTTGTTTTGAACAATGTGTTAGTTTTAAAGACGCGCGCGCTTCTCGCAAACAGGTTTTTTTAAAATCGTTTGCTCTGTTTTATTAAAACAAACGTTTTCCATTCAAAGAAAAATGAAATGGGTGTATTGAAAAGTCGTTCTTAAACATTTATGGAGAACCAAGGAGGCGGCCGAAATTTCAATTTAAAGTCACACTGGAAAAGAAATCGAAAACTAGAGAAACGCCCATCCTAATCGAAATAAAGTACAAATACCCAGGAAGCAAATCTTACAGTGGAATTATTTCTGATCTCGTAAAAGGGAGTCGGTCCAGCTTTTGATTCATTCACTTGACAGTTAAACGGGAATAATGACGGAAGCAACAAAAAGCAAGTAAACAAACAGGCAAAAACAAATCCATGAAAATCAACAAATTAGATGTTGATGCTGTGGCCCTACAGTGGACAATGGCTACACAATTATATGGTTGTTGTTCAACTTAAGTCGGTGATTTGGCAAGCGAATGACGTTGCATTGTCTTGGGGGTTTTATAGCGGTGATACAGAACAAGTCATTCAGTTATTGTAGGTCTCGTGTTCTTTGACTGTAGATTAACAACCTTCACGCAAACACTTCCATGTAACATTTACGATTGTTTGATTCAACAGCCTGCAGCGTTCAGTGCCGACGCAACACACCCTGCTGGTTGTAATTGCTCGGCGTTTACAAATAATTCATCGGTGTTGTAAACATGTGAAAGTGAAAATTTCTCTATCGTACGTTGATGGACAGTGTATGCTTCTGGAAGATGTAAGCATAACAGCTGTCTTTTGGAATCTGGCCTTGAGATGTCACTCAAAGAGGACAGCAAAGTCGAAGAAAAAGATCCCAAGGTATGGAATGTCAAAAAAGATTTTGGGGTCGAAGACATGCATCGTTCATTTTACACTTATTTTAATTTATTCTCTACAAAGGCACGTAATTTTTTCCCGAAAGCTGTTAGGAGTTTGAACTGAAATCACCATGGTTTAAAATTCGAGAAATAGTTTTGTGGACAATTACCAATTCATGGTAAAACTTTGGGTAAATGTTACTATTCTCACCCTCCCTTAGATCGCTATTTCAGGTGTGTTCACTGACAAAATCAAGGGCGAGACACAAGCTGGTATGAAAATCTTTTTTGTTATTTTATTTCCTGATACCACGTTAAAGTAAGAATATATTGCTGTCAGATTTATTGCTACTTAGTAATCCGGTAACCATGGATACCTTTTAAATGCAGCCAATCAGCAGCTCGAACGTACAGCCAACTGAATCAGCGACTTGCTTATTACATTATTATGATGCACTTATGAGCGCGCATGGAAGTCGTTCCATCATTAGAGAGTTCTTTGAAATCGTTGACAAACAAAAAAATCTTACAAAACCGTCCTTTCTTTAGTCTCCTCCGCAGCCGTAATTAGGGTCGTCACGCAACACTTCTCCCCCACTAACAGCTGTTAGTGGGGGAGAAGCGTTGCGTGACGACCCTAATAACGGCTGCGGAGGAGACTAGCCTTTCTTAAGACCTCGTAACAAATCTCAAGTCCTGCAAGTTGCGACAGCACTCTGCAAGGTAGAAGCATGCTTTACTGTCACGTTGTACTACTCACACAGCGACTTGACAAGCGTCAAATTGTCACGTTATTGCTAATGACTAGCTTCCAAATCCCGACAAAATCGGCGCGAGATCACGCAAGTAATAAACAAAGGTGTTTGAAAGAAAGTCTGCCAAATACCACTGTTCAAGACCAAAAAGGACCAGAGTAAGAAAACTTTTCACTGACTGATATAGTTAAAGTGTTATGTGTCCCTGGGATACCCTTTATGATGCAAACGGTACTGCACACCTTGCTAATTAGCGTGGAATTTTGTTGTTTGGCAAGTTGTGTGACACTTTTGATATATAAGTGGCGACGGATTGTAAATTTACTCTCATGAAGGCCAACGAAATCTGAGTAACAGTGATAGCGTAAGTATTAAAAAACCCGTCTCTGTCTGTAAGCATACCAAACCAGTTGAGACTTTATCCCTTTCCCAGGTAAGGAAGGAATTCCAATTTTAATCTTCACGAATAACTTTGAATTATCATTTTCTACATTAGCTGAAAACTCTACTGTTGGAACCGCTCAAACAGAAAGTCCAGTGAATAATGAAGTCGTTCAATCCTTAAGGTATGCTGAGTGTTTATTATCTGACACTTAACCGGCTCCAGGCGTTCAGTTAAGAGCAGTGGAATGAAAACGGGAAAGGTATCAAGCGTCTAGAAAAGGCTAACTGAACAAACTCCATGCTGCTTGAGACTTTGAGTTGGCAAGGCTGAATAACAGTCACTTTATTGGTATTCGTTAACATGATAAGTTTAAGCTTTATGCGGCGTTATTTAAAATGGAGTAAGTGTTTTAGTGACATATCATCAATTCGACTTCACCAACTGGGAAACAGGGTTATATCATGTGGGAATTGTTAAGATATTAGGGACCTTAAGCACCGACGACGAATGGGACGAGGACGACGAGTAAAACTGTTGTAGGATTGGGTTGAGGACGTCGTTCACGGCGTGAAACCAAGTGCGAGTACATGTAAACAGAGCTGAGTTCTTGTAAACATCGACGTAAAACTATCGAACAATTTTGTCATCTCTTCCTTTCACGAGCCCCAAGACCTGTTTCTCTTGAGCTACGAAAACGGTACTATCGGAGACAACAAATTTTCAGTCCTACATGAGGAATTAATGTCGAAAAATCCCGATTTCTGATACGAAGAACATAACAGGTTTTCACTCGAAGAGATGAATGATGCCGAATNTCTTGCTGCTCGGTGATAATAGCCCAGCTTATTAGATTTCCCTTTAACAAGTCGATTTAACCGGGAGAAAACCTGTCTAAATACAAATACTGAACCTCGAGATTGAATCTGCTTCCCTAAATATTGCTATAACAACATGATAACAGCGAAATGTTAGTCACAGCTTTTCTATTTGGACGGAGTTCGTGAATTCAGAACGCATATTTTCTCGTCGAAAATTGTTACCACCGGCTTCCCGAGTTAAGTTCGACGCAAACACGCCGTCTGAAGCAGCCGTCGCTCCAAAGTCGCTCTAAAGTCGAACTTAATCAAGTTTGGTTCGGCACATGAGTGGAGCGGCGTTTGGACCGGGCCTTAAGTACGGCAGAAGAGCGGCGTTCGAATCAGTTTGGCTCGGCGGGTTAGGTTTGGTGCGGCAAACAACATTAAATTCGGCGGGGTCTGCCGCACTATGCGACGTTGGAGCAGCAACTGATTCATACGGCGTTCTCCTTATGTGTCGAACCTAATGCATAAATTACTGTAATGTATCTTTCATATAATGGGACTCGTAATTGGCTCAAAATTGAGTGGCGTGACCAGTCATGCAAGAAGCTCGAAGTTGTCGCTAAAAATAAAGACGACAAAAATGCTTTCGATTTATGAGAAACGGGACTGTACAAGCGAGTTTCTTTAGCTCAACTTCATTTTTTAGTTTTTCTTCGTGATAAGAGCCCAGCTTATGAGATTTCCCTTTAACAAGTCGAATTAACCGGGAGAAAACCTGTCTAAATACAAACACTGAACCTTGAGTTTGAATTTGCTTCCCTAAATATTGCTATAACAGCGAAATGTTAGTCACAGCTTGTCTATTTGGACAGAGTTCTTGAATTCAGAATGCATATTTTCTCGTCGAAAATTGTTACCACCGGCTTCCCGAATTAAGTTCGACGCAAGTACGCCGTCTGAACCAGCCGTCGGTCCAAAGTCACTCTTAAGTCGAACTTAATCAAGTTTGGCTCGGCACATGAGTGGAGCGGCGTTTGGACCGGGCCTAAGTCGTGTAACGAGCTCGTGGAGCACTAATATGCACTTCGGAAATACGAAACAACAAAACACAACAAAACACAACAAAAGAACAAGGTCGAATTTTAGCAGCCATTATTGCCCATTACAAGATGCTAGCCGTCCATAGGGTAAGAATTTCTTCTTCTAAATTTTCCTCTATAAAAATGTGTCATAATATTGCGAAAAGTAGCTTTCATATGAACTAATCACGATTCCTCTCCCACTTGCACGCGCAAATGACGTCAGGGGTCATTGATACCCATGCGCGCGTGGTCGTCTCGCAATTTTATGACGTCACAAAGAAGCCAACGGAGAAAAACAGCGTTTATTTTCTCGTGTTTCCTTCGGTGAAATTTTGCGACAGTTTGTTTACGTCATGATATAGATGCCTACTTCACAATATCATTTTTTGACAAAATTTTATATAGGGATTTCTCTTTTTTAATTAAAAATAAGAAGATTAAGGATTTTTACGAATCTACGTGCTAAACTTTTCATTTTTTCAAATTAAACTATTGTGCGAAATCGTTTTCACAAGACTGCCGAGTTTAAAGATATTTTACCGAGGCTAACCCTAGAAAGAGAAGCAAATAGGTGGAAAATAGCAAAAAAATGGTTGGTTGTTGCCATGGCAACAGTCTGCATTACACTCATGTGAACGAAAAGAACCCCGAGGTGTATCGCTATTCTTCTCTGTGAATCCCAGGAGCCTAAACCCAAAGGTGAAACAAATAGTTCATTTTTAGTTCTTCATCTTTCTGCAGTTGTAGATACTGTTAATACTGTAGGGAGCCACCTTAAGCATTTTTTTTTTAATTAACTAACTTTTTTCCTAATTAACTACCTTCAGTGAAAATTCGGCTTCCAGGGCGTCGATAGCGTTTCCCGTACGTGGGACCTGTTCTTTTACTGATGTTGTAAAATGCAAAGATGGAGGAATTTCGAACTTTACATTATGCGAGAGCAAGGGAGATATTTCAAGCACAGAGCCCAGCATGGAGTTTGTTATCGCGTTTGGTGTCTCACCAGAACACGAACCATCAGTCAAGGCATGCACTGGTCAGCAGCCTCACATCTACATCAATGAAGAAGAATTTGATGACAAGGTACTTCAGGAACTCATGAATAATTCATCAAGCTTAAACAAAGGAAATCATTATCGTGACGGTGTTAATTGTTATCGTTATTAGCATAGATTTTTTTTGATTTTTCAACTCTGTTCGCGGTGTTTGGAAATTTGTTACTGAACACGGTCACTTGTCACCAACCTGACAGACAGACTGACTGACCTGACCTGACCTGACCGACCGACCGACCGACCGATTGATTGATTGATTGATTGATTGATAATGAATATTTGTACAATCATTTTCAATGCAGGATGAAAACTTCAAATCTCCTATTTATCGAACTGAATCAGAAGTGAAAAAAGGTAAGCAACTGAATTTTAATAGCAATTTAATTGTTTGGGTCTCTTGAACAGTGGTTTCTTTCACAGTTATTATACAGTAATAAGTTCTCGAGGAGGGTTACGTCGGACACTTTAAAATTGCTCAGTCAGGATGATGTTTTTGATGTGGAGGTTACGGTCATATTTCTTTATTCATGTGTATGCCTGTTATTTCTGGGGATGTTGTCTGGACACAAGAATGACGTAATAAAACATGCTTCCTCCATAGTGGAACAGGCACTCGCCTCTCATTCTGACATGCAGTCCCTTCGGCCTGGGTTCGAATCCACGTGTGTTTTTTGTGTGTTTTATTTTGCTGGCATCATTCAGACAAAAGCTAATCAGTAACTACTCACAAGAATTTACTTATCCATCCCTTCCCGGTCAACCTCCAGGCATAAGCGGTTTGTTTGTTTGTTTGTTTGGATATGTTAAGATTGTGGTGGAGAGAACAGTGGTTCTTCATTTTAAGGTGCAAATCTCTTTATACATTTGTAAGCAAAGCTGATTTATGCGCAGGTAGATCTATAATGTACATTGGAATGCAAGTATGGATGAGTGTGTTATATAAAGCCAATTTCTTGTGCAAGGCAGTGTCACCAACGTTTTACTTTTAAATGCAAAACAAAAGCAATACCAAATGGAAAAGAGATACCTTTAAAAACATCTATCCAAGCTTTTCTTATTCTTCCTGAATATGTTAGTCCACCTCAAATTCTTCTTCGTCTCCACAAAGTCTTGCAATAGGCCAACTTTGACTTTGACTGTCTCTGATATCTGGGGATGTCTAGGGATGTCTGGGGAGTGAATGAACATTATAAATAATACTTACCAAAGATTTCGGACGAACTTAATTTCCGACAAACAAAACGTCCAAAAATAAAATCCCCCGAAATTTTTGAGCATCCCTATATTTTGAGCGTTCGAAATATTTACAGTACAGTACAAAACGTTTAAGTGTGTATTTTCTTATTTTTGGAGAAGTTTTGCACAACAGGCCTGTCCAGGTTGTTTAGGGCACCTATTGACAATTGACGGGCGAAGGTTTGTGATACATTACATTGTATTTCCACGCCTACAGGCCCACTACCTATGAAGGAAATCGTATTTATTTCGCTTTACGGTGCTAGAGTACTGGTCTCTACCTTTGTATATATGAAATTACCAGAGATTATCCCTCCGCCTTATGTCTTACGATCGTCTCAAATGATTAACTTTGAATTTTTTTCTACATCGGCTGAAAACTCCACAGCTCTCGAATCCTCTCAAACAGAAAGCGAAGTGACTAGTGAAGCTCTTCAATCTAAAAGGTGAGACCAACAGCTATAAAGAAACTCCATGTGGCAAGGGTTTATTGCACTGGAGTAAATGATTGGTGAATACTTGATCCACAAACAGCGGAAACTAATAATTCCTTTACAAAAGAACCGATATAAAGAGAACGTGTTAGCAAGGTTGAATAGAAGTCACTTTCTTGAATGTCGCTTAACGGCAAATACATCTAGAGTTGTTGTAAATCGTGACAGTAATTTTTTGTTAATGACTTGTATGGTTCAAATAGACCAAAATATTTAATAGGTGTGTATTTGAAGTAATATATCAAACACGAAAGACCGTGTTTGACCACATTTCCAAACACCGAGAAGAGAGTTGAAAATACGACGCGCAGCGGAGTATTTTTGACGAACTTCGGGGTGTTTGGAAATGTGGTCAGACACTGTCTTGAGTGTTTGATATATCTTCACAATCGAAACTAAAACTAAGGAGAAAACGGAGAAATAAAATCGTTCAAATCTATGCTAATTAAGATCAGATATCCAAACACCGTCACGGTCATGATTTCCTTTGTTTAAACTTAATGAATTATTAATGAGTTTCAGAAGTATTATTCAGAACTTTTTTCACCAAACTGCTTGCGTCTGGTTATCATTATGTTGTGTATTTTCCTCGAGCAATGAAGTAAATCGATAGGAGAAATTGGAAATTATTCACATGTTCCGAACAAACAGGTCTTATCGCCTTAAACTTTGACGGTTTTGGGAAACAAAATTTTCAGGAAAAAATGAGGGAGTTAAATTAACGTTAGCACTTGGATTGTGGCGTGAGATTAGGGTATAAGATATACTGATTTTGTCGAGCAAATTTTGCTTACTTAATATATTTTTAAAATTACTTTGTAGCTGTAGTAAAAGTTCAGTGGGGTCGACTTCATTTCCTGTACTTCGAGTTTCGTCTTTCACTGATCTTCTAAGATGGAAAGAAGGCAAAAAATCAAGCCTAAGATTGTCTAAAAGTGAGGGAAATATCTCAAGCAATGAGGCATTAGTCAAAGACTGCACTGCTCAGCAGCTGCTCTACATCTGCGAGTATGAAGAGGAATTGCAATCTGATGAAACTGTAAGTAATTATAAACAGTAACGGTCGATTGATCCATTCATTCATTCATTCATTCATTCATTCATTCATTCATGCGTGCATTTCGATTGTCTCAATTGGCATTTTCTTTCTCTCCTGTGCTAATAACAAAAACTTGTGCGGTCATTTTACTGCAGGTTAGAAATTACAGCCCTTCAATTAACCAAACTGAACCGGAAGTTACAGGAGGTAAATAATTGATCACCAACAACTACTTAAGAGTTTACGCACGCGCAATGCAGCAGTCAATTCCAGCATTCCCACCCTGGACCATTCTTCTTTTACATAACAAAAGATTTATTCAAGATGTAAATAATAAAACATCTTGAAAAGGAAAACAAGAAGAAGACCCTGTAACACTTCCCTAAAGGAGACCACTAATGTTTGAGGTGTGTATGAGTGTAACAGGGATTGATTGAACTAAATCAGCTCAGATCGGGTTCTGGAAATTGAAGCTGGCGAAAACAAGCCTCATAAAGCCATAAAACGTGAGTAAACCAATGCTACAGAGGCCAAGAAGCAAGAGCAGTTTGCCCATTTTGATGAAAGATTGTTCTTGCCAAGATTTGCCTTGATTTTTTTTCGCACAAGAAACGGTCGTTGTCAAAAAGATGCGGCTACCTGTTGACACGTTACATTAAGCGTTGTCGTCGTAAAAACGCTACAGTTTTATAACGTTTTCAAAATGATGCGGCTTCATTTGTTATTTTCGCTCGCCATGTAACCGCAGCGAAAAATATGCGTTTACAAATCAAACCGTCTCTGTGTGAAGGCAGCCTGAGTAATAGACGGGTACAGGAACGTGATAAGTTGTGTATTACATAATATTTCGAATTATTCTCGCATTTCGATTGGTTCTTACTTATGAGGACAGACGCATAGACGACGTCATTAGCCATGTTTTTTGTTTCTTTAGTATTTAAAACAAGTAGATTCCATGTTGCCATGTGTCTGCTCAGCCAAAAAAACACATTTTGACGTTGTCTGTGACATTGGCGTTGTCTGTGACGTTGTCTAATTTAACAATTAGATTATGAGCTCGCGATTTCTAGTTAAACAATAGAGTGTTTCTGTCGAGAAACTATCAGCTGATAGTTGCCCCGCAGAAATTTGATGTTCTTGAAACAAATATTTGCCCGACTGAAGCGAAGCTTCGAGGGCAAGACACGGACGTTCTAGACATAAGACAGAAGACATAAACATAAACGCTCCGAGACATACACGCTCTATTGTCTTTATTGTTTACCACTTCCGTGCGCCAGTTCAAAAATCATATTGAATTATTTTCAACTTTTTTAGATGAAAGCCGTGAAAGCCAGATGTAAAATTTAAAAAGGAAAATAAACAAAATCCACTTAATACAATTTCAATTTCAACATGGAATCTATCTGTTAAATATAACAGTGGGACTTGATCACATAGCTTTATTTTTTAACGGACGAAGTACAGTGGAACCCCGCTAGCTCCCGTTAATACGGTCACCAAGGGGCCACGAAAATTAACGGGGTGGCCGTATTAATGGGGTAGGGTTAAACCTTATGACTGGTCTATATTGAGTGACGTCTTAACAGATATATCACAATTGCACTTCTAAACAACTGTTGTTTAATAAGCATCCGGAATGCAGATATAATTTTAAAAAAAAATTGAAACTTGTATCAGTGTGAAAAATATTAACAATGGAAAGATGAACAAATATTAACAAGGTGGCCATAAGGCGGGTTTCCCTTGTAAAACCAGTGTCACACCACACTAAGGCCCCATTTATATGGTCTTGGTTACCCGAGACAACCCTTNGTAACTTTTCACTTATTTCTTTGAAAAATTCAACCAACCGTTTACAAGAGGATCGTGAACCCGTCTCGGGAGGCGAGACAACTCGGCTGGGCAGGTAGGGTAACCCTGGCAGGCTGGACATCTTTTCTTCATATAAACACTTTGGCTGGCCTAACCGAGACAAGTCTCAGCGTAGTGAGTGTCACGAAATGTTTAGATTTAGGATTGAAAGCAGAAATTGGTATCAAAGAAGTAAAAATTAATTTCGCAAAACCCGATTGATCGCATGACCGGGGAAAACTAAAAGAAAGAGGGATATTTGTACATTTGGTTATTCAATATGGGTTATGAATAATCATGCGGAGTCAACTGTGACTCGGACTACAGAGACAACGTTTTCACATATAAACGCTCGATAAAGTTGCCTCAGGGGGAGGATTGCCTCGGGTACTCAAGACCATGTAACTGGGGCCTAAGTTCTAAATTGAATGCTGAATACATTAGGTCACATAACATCATTTGATTCCGTGTATCGGAATAAGACTGACTGCGTAGTGTTATACAATCAGCTTTTTTCTATTCAGCAGGAAGCAAAATCGACTCTGAAGTTGAGCCAGACAACCAATGCCGAAGTGTTTTTGTCTTGAGGTAAGAAGTTTCTAAGTTCACTGAGGTTATTACAAAACTGAAACAATATATGATTTGAACACGGATGCCAACTTTAGTTTGGGTAGATCTGTATGTAGTATTTACACTGATTACAAGCTCTTCTATACCAAGGATTACCAGATTTCACTTAGCAGAGTTGAGGTACTCATCCTGGTCATACGCTCTTTTCAGATCGATGCCTGACGAACAAAGAAGACGTTCTTTCAGTGACTCTACTACTTTAAATACCCCGAGAATCTTCACTGCTGAACATCTGAGGAAAACTAAAAGCTATACGACATTTCCTCACATCAACACGCAGTCGGTGCCCAGAGATGATGAACTTTCTTCGTTTGTTCACCGAACGTCCTGCTTTAGAATTATGCCTCATTTATCGGGAGATTGCCTTGCGGATGAAAATTTTCCTACAGTCTCTGTATTGTCTCTTTCGTCCCTATTTGAAAATTACGCCCAGAACATCGAATGTGAAATCAGTAGTGAATCTGAGGATTCGCTGGGGCTCGGCGCTAGTGAAGAAGGTGTGCTTCATTCTTGGCGAAAGCCATCCAGCAGGCCAAGGTCCTATTCAGAGCCTGTTTCAATGGCACCTGAACTTCCTGTCAGAACTTGGAGCCTTCCGAATATGGAAGAGAAACGGCTTTCACGATTTCAAGAAACAATATACAAGGTCAAGGCGTCTCCATCGCGGCTGATATTACGCGAACAGGCTTTGGAAAAGCTCAAAGAAGAGGCCAGTTCTCTCTCTCTAGGACTCAGTTTGGAGTCAGTTAAGTCATGTTCTTCATCGGTGATGTCACTGGTTGATAACTACGACAGCGAGGTTATTGATCAGTGGTTTTCATCACAAGAATGTCTAGGTGGTGAGGATGTGATGGGTCACTGGATAAATCGTACCCGAGCCCGAAGACATTCAATCACTAAAGAGCCATCGTTTTCATTGGTGGAGGAAGCTGAAGAAGTAAAGAACTCCTTTCTGTTCGTTTGTCATAACATAACATACTTTATTTCCTCACAATTAAAATGTATAGATAAGATTACAGCTTTTAATGTTTATAGTATACCTTTTTGGTTGATGAATGATATACAGATTTAGCCATACCTAAAAGCGGAACTCCTGATTGCAATAATTAGCTATATAGATTTGTTTTTCACGAGTCAGAAACTCAAGAAAAATGATTCTCCGATTAAACTCGGATTAAGCCGGTAAAACCGGTCTGTGGTGAGAGAAAATGGTGTAGCACTTGGGGAGGGAAGGGATAATTATAACGGCTCCAACAAAATTGATACGAACTTGTTGTTGAATAAAAAGAAAAAGAAAGCCCAATGTTTATATCTCAACTACATTTGCTAAAATGCTCAAATTAAAATTAGAGTCGTGATAAAAAATCTGTGCAAGATAAACTCACTGAATCATTCATCAGGCGGAAAATCAGTGAGCTCTTGAAAACGCTTAGCGGTCTAATTTTCAGCCTTACTTCTTTGTAATTTAGAAATTTAGAACAGCCTCTATTCGGATGGGCTAATAAAGCAAGTTTGGCTAGGGAAAAATTATAGAAAGAGGAAAGCCATAAACTAAGAAACGAAGCGAATGCGGAGATTGATTATCTAAATTCTACCGAATGAGATAAACAACTTTTTGAAGAACAAGCAAAGTCGACAATATTTTGTTCATAATAGTCGCCTTTATCAAGCCAGAAAAGCCTTTACGTCCACCACTGATCTTTCCTTTTACACTACAGCGGCCAGTAAGCGACGATTTCTACCTCTGAGAGCGGAAATGTTGAAATTTCTCATGATTTCTTGCTTCGTCCTCGTTGTTTAAAACACTTTGCGGATCGCCGAACAGCGGTCCATCCGTGTTGTGAAAAACCGCGGGAAAACCGAACGCGGGATGGCTCATCCGTGAGAGAATAGTAACATCTATATTACAAAAGTGGTCAGGTAGCCCGAATTGCTTTTCTTTCCTTACCGGGCCCGGCATTAAAGCAAAATCAACCAACTGTAAGTCCGCCTTTTTGATTTGTTTGTCTGCTTTTTCATCCGATTAGCGAGTTAATCCACCTGGCTAGGTGTGTTGAATGTAACCCTTAGTTTAATCCTTGGTTAGTGCTAATCGAGCTTCGAGGAACAGAATTTCATCGAAAGATAATTTTATTCCGTGGAATAGATTGATTTAAACGTGGGTTAGCGCTAATCGGCTTTCGAACAACCAGGGCGAGAGTAATAAACTGACTTGAGCCTGCGATCCAATCAAAAACCCACTACCTGGTCAACGGGCAAGTTCAAAAAAGCTCTGAGCCTGCTCTTAACCCCGCCACAAAAGTGGCCAATCAGTAAATCACTAAGAAGGGGTAAACAACTTTTCTCTTGACGCTGAAGATAACTTAGCTTTCGCTTAAGTTGTCGAAACCGAGATGATCACACTGTACAAACTAATACTTAAATACTGTTAAACTTTGCAGGGTGAAGGTGATCTTCAGAAGACACCATCAGCTGTTTCGCTTGTAAACCAAGTGACTGAGCAAGTCTTGAGTTCCTGTGAAGTGGTAAGATAAGCAATCAGCGTAAACATCTCGGAACCGACACGATCAGCTAAAATCAGAGATAATCGTCATTGCAGAGATACTACAGAGATTACAGAGATAATCGTCATTACAATGAATAATGAAATTGCCTCATGATGGCAATTTCAGCTTTTACCAACTGATCATGGATTTAACTAAAATATCACAATAATAGCTTAAAACTGCAGAATAACTTCAAGGAAACACAAGAAAGTCAAAAAGGGCGAGAAGATTAAAACAAGAACATTAAAAGAGAAATTAAAACGAATTGCATAAGGGAGAACTTGCAAAACAATGGCCCCACGTTTTTCAAGGTTTTGTTCATTTGTACATAATAGGGATATTTTCAGTGCTCGGAAATCATCCTTCTTTGATAGGTGGTTGAAATATTGCCAACAAAAGACTGCTGCTCAGACAGTTTGAAGGTTTGAGCTCGTGTTTGACAAGAATAACCGAGTTACTAAACATAATATATAGATTTAGCCAAGCCTAAAAGCGGAGTTCCTGGCTGGGTTGTTCAAAGCCCGATTAAGATAACCCATGTAAGCGAGAACTTTTATTTGAATTTTGTAACTTTGCAGTAAGGTTTTCTGTATATTTTTTGGCCTTCTGTTTTCAGTTTGAACAATCTCAAAATACACAAAACAAAAGCTGTGAAAAACATTTGTATACAAGAACTATTTATACTTCTGTTAACTTTAATCCTTGGTTAGCGTTAACCGGTTTTCGAAGAACCAGGCCCCGTTTACAACAAGTTAATCTGACATGAGCCCACAATGCAATAGATAACCAGCACTTGGTCAGCGGTCACTTGAGTTCTAAACTTGAGCCCGCGATATCGTCACGTAATACTGGTCAGCAGATACCTTGTTTTGACAAGTGTCAATTGACTATAACCAGGAGCCATAATCGGGGACAGAGACCGTAAGCGTGCGCCATTTCTAGTATTGGGGTTGTCCCCATGATATGGGACAATAATTCTATTTTTAGAACAAATTGCGCCATCGCCTGCGGCAC